CCCCCTCCAGGTGTCCCCAGGTGTCCCCAGGTGTCCCCAACCCCCCCCCAGATGTCCCCAGACCCCCTCCAGATGTCCCCAGGTGTCCCCAGGTGTCCCCTCACCTGTGGAATTGTTCTGGAAGCAGCTGCGGCCCCGCCCCCAACGCCTCCAGCAGCTCCCGGCGGATCCGGAGGAGCCGATCCGAGTCCTCGGAACCGCTCCGGGGTGAGGGGTCCCGGCCCGTCTCGGATCGGAACCGCAGCAGCACTGGGGACATTGGGGACAGGCTCAGGGACACACGGACAGACACACAGACACACAGACAGACTGACAGACACACAGACAGACACACAGACAGACACACAGACACACAGACAGACGGACACACGGACAGGAACACCCGGAGGAGCCGATCCGAGTCCTCGGAACCGCTCCGGGGTGAGGGGTCCCGGCCCGTCTCGGATCGGAACCGCAGCAGCACTGGGGACATTGGGGACAGGCTCAGGGACACACGGACAGACACACAGACAGACTGACAGACAGGCAGACAGACAGACTGACAGGAACCCCCGGAGGAGCCGATCCAAGTCCTCAGAACCGCTCCGGGGGGAGGGGTCCCGGCCCGTCTCGGATCGGAACCGCAGCAGCACTGGGGACATTGGGGACAGGCTCAGGGACACACGGACAGACACACAGACAGACTGACAGACAGGCAGACAGACAGACTGACAGGAACACCCGGAGGAGCCGATCCAAGTCCTCAGAACCGCTCCGGGGGGAGGGGTCCCGGCCCGTCTCGGATCGGAACCGCAGCAGCACTGGGGACATTGGGACGGTGACACACGGACAGACACACGGACACAGGGACACACGGACAGACACAGTCGGACACAGGAACACCCGGAGGAGCTGCTCCGGGGCAACGGGTCCCCAGAAATGGGAATTTTTTTTGCTTTTTTTCCCCGAGAAATGTGAATTTTTTTTGCTTTTTTTCCCCCAAAACCATGATTTTTTGGGGTTTTCTTTTCCCCAGAAATGTGGATTTTTTCCCTTTTTTTTTCCCAGAAATGTGGATTTTTTTCCCCTTTTTTTTTTTCCCCAGAAATGTGGATTTTTTCTCCTTTTTTTTTTCCCAGAAATATGGAAATCTTTTCCCTTTTTTCCCCCAAAACCATGGATTTTTTGGGGGTTTCTTTTTCCCCAGAAATGTGGATTTTTTCCCTTTTTTTTTTCCCAGATATGCGGATTTTTTCCCTTTTTTTCCCCAGAAATATGGAAATCTTTTCCCTTTTTTCCCCCAAAACCATGGATTTTTTTGGGGTTTTTTTTTCCCCAGAAATGTGGATTTTTTCCCTTTTTTTCCCAGAAATGTGGATTTTTTCCCTTTTTTTCCCAGAAATGTGGATTTTTTCCCTCTTTTTTTTCCCAGAAATGTGGATTTTTCCCTTTTTTTCCCAGAAATATGGAAATCTTTTCCCTTTTTTCCCCCAAAACCATGGATTTTTTGGGGGTTTCTTTTTCCCCAGAAATGTGGATTTTTTCCCTTTTTTTTTTCCCAGATATGCGGATTTTTTCCCTTTTTTTCCCCAGAAATATGGAAATCTTTTCCCTTTTTTCCCCCAAAACCATGGATTTTTTTTCCCCAGAAATGTGGATTTTTTCCCTTTTTTTTTTCCCAGATATGCGGATTTTTTCCCTTTTTTTTTTCCCAGATATGCGGATTTTTTCCCTTTTTTTTTTCCCAGATATGCGGATTTTTTCCCTTTTTTTTTTCCCAGATATGCGGATTTTTTCCCTTTTTTTTTTCCCAGATATGCGGATTTTTTCCCTTTTTTTTTTCCCAGATATGCGGATTTTTTCCCTTTTTTTTTTCCCAGATATGCGGATTTTTTCCCTTTTTTTTTTCCCAGATATGCGGATTTTTTCCCTTTTTTTTTTCCCAGATATGCGGATTTTTTCCCTTTTTTTTTTCCCAGATATGCGGATTTTTTCCCTTTTTTTTTTCCCAGATATGCGGATTTTTTCCCTTTTTTTTTTCCCAGATATGCGGATTTTTTCCCTTTTTTTTTTCCCAGATATGCGGATTTTTTCCCTTTTTTTTTTCCCAGATATGCGGATTTTTTCCCTTTTTTTTTTCCCAGATATGCGGATTTTTTCCCTTTTTTTTTTCCCAGATATGCGGATTTTTTCCCTTTTTTTCCCCAGACATATGGAAATCTTTTCCCTTTTTTCCCCCAATACCATGGATTTTTTTTCCCCAGAAATGTGGATTTTTTCCCTTTTTTTCCCCAGAAATGTGGATTTTTTCCCTTTTTTTTTTCCCAGAAATGTGGATTTTTTCCCTTTTTTCCCCA